TCCAAAGGAGTAAGAAGATCATGGAAGAAAAATCAATTGAGAATATTCCATGCTCCTGCAAAGTTTTCTTGGAAATTGGAGAATTACTCAATATTCATTATTAAATTCACTATCCATTACTCAATATTCATTATTAAACATCTTCATGCAGGTATCAGAGGAGCTCCAGTAGTCCATGGGCACCTGGTCTGGGACGCATGGCCGCCCAATTGTCCAACAGGCTCTGGCAGAGAAAAGAGCTGTGGAACGAGGCTTTGGAAACATATGCAGTGACGTGGCCTTGTGCCGGGGCACATGGCTACTAGGTAGGCCTGGCTGGGAAACTGGACTTTACCAGGTGCTCAGACACAGGGTGGGCAACTCAGGTGGGCACCAGTACCAGAATGACCACAGAGCACGTACCATCCACACTGCTTTCTAATTGTGTGACCTTGAGCAAGTTATCTGACCTCTCCAAATCTTGGTTTCCTCTTTTATTTAGTGAGGATTCTAGTTACCCTACCTCACAGAAAATCATTGCGAATATTAAATAAGCTAAGACTTTGGGCACAGTCCTTGGTACATGGTGAATGCCCTCCAAATGTAAGCTGCTAGTATTCTTCATGTTTTGATTTTTGGAGGAGGGTAACAGTTCACTGTGTACGAAAAAAAGGTAGGTCTCCAAGGCAGGGAAGGGAGACAGCCGATGACAGGGCAAAGCATCTGTGGGAACTCGTTCCCCTCTCCTCTCCTGGGAGATTAAGAGCCCCTGAAGGCCATCAGGGCAGGACCTGCTTGTCCCCTTAAATGAGACTTAAATGGTCCAGGTAATGACCCATGCTCTCCCTTCTCTTCCAGAAAGTGCTGGGTTATTAATTAGCAGCCCAGGGCTTTCTTATCTTCCCACTGACACTTCTCTCTCCACAGACAGCCCTGGTGCCCCCTCCCCTGTCTCCACCCATCGTGTTAGGATTCATCAGCAGTTCTCATCGCTTGCTATTGTTCCCATTTTTCTAATGGGCTCCCACGTCAGGAAAATCCATTTTGTAACAGTAACAGGCGTTCTCGCTAACAGATTGTAATTGAAAAGATAAACTAGGGAGATGAAGCAAAAAGAAAGGACCATTTTCCCTGCACATCCCAAAGCCAGAGAAGGCTGGCTCCAGGGCCGGGGGTTGCTGGTGGACCCTCAGAAACATCCAGGGCTCAGGCTGTGGACAGCAGGAGCTGCCTCGGCCGCGGACACAGACACTGACGGAGACATAGACAAAGCACGGCCCGGAGACCGGAGAGCAAGTGACGCAGAGGCTCAAGAGCCTGGAAGAACAGCGTTTAGTCTGGGAAGGGAAGAGACTCTGGGCAGAACCATTAATATTACTACTAATAATATCACTTGCTATTTACTTCTACATGGTAAGCACTATGTCCTTTACATGATCTAATTTAACTTTTACAGGCTTCCTAAGACATTGGGATTCACCTCTCAAAGATAAATAAACTAATGTAGAGATGTTAACTGAGTAAGTTGTTGGAAGGCAGTGCATTAAGTGGAAGAGCTGAGATTTGAACCTAGGACTTTGCGATGCCAAACACTGGGCTCTTGAACCAGGCGTCTAAGGAGACTGAAGGTCGAGGTGTAGAGTCCCAGGCTGGACAGAGAAGCTGGGGAGGCATTTCTTAGTCGTCCTCAGGAGAGGATGGGGGCATCCTCCACTCTTTGGCCTGACTGGGATTATGAGCGGCCTCCTCATGACGCCCACATCCCCATCTCTCTCCTTCCCTAGAAAGTAGACATCGCGGGCTCCCCACCAGCCACCAGGCAAGCAACCAGTGGCCTCTGGAAAAGTCGCATACAGAGAGGTACTTGAGGAATACCTGAGTGTGTGCATGTGTGTCGGGAGAACGGGGCTATTGTGTACTGAGGCTCACAGACAAGGTCCATTAATAATAAGCCCTGCTGAGGCTTGTAAGTTTATTAGGAGAACCTGGTGTAATTAAAATTCAGGGTTGGGGGAGGGGGAGCAGAGGGCCTTTGCTTCCTTTCCTTGTTTCAGAGATCCAGGCTGAGCTACCGATGGGGATAATTAGCAGAGTCCAAACAGAGAAGGAATTAATGCTCCTGAAAAAGCTATGATGAGGAGAGACAATGCTGAGCTAATTAGGGCCGCACCAAGCTTTGTGATTGGGTGCCCGCTTCCACCATTATTAGGGGATTCAGAGATAAACCGGAGACTAATGTGGAGTGTTACAGCTAACAGAGCATTGGCAATAATTTAGCAATTATTAATATTATTATTTGGGCAGATGGCAACTGTACCTTTCTGCCTGATGGGTCAGGGTGTGTGGTCCCTCTGAATGTGGGATCAAGGCTGGAGTGATGGAGGGGAGGGACAGAGAGAAAGCCAAAAATTCTCTTCCCTCTCTGCTCCTCTCCCTGTTTATACCTGCGATTAGTGAGAGGAGAGGTCCGGGTGGATCCTTGGGGAGCAAGAAAAAGACTTCAGCACCCCTAAAAGAGAGGAGGGAGGGATGAGGTCGTGTCATCATCATACTTCCCTGTTTGCTTCTCCTTTCAAAGGCCCCTCTGATTTCAATTCTTGAGTGTGGCCCAGTCCTTAGAGGCTTCTTTTCCTAAGCAAGGCTAGCACGGTGCTACCTAGCCGAGTCAGGACTCGTTCTTACCATGCTTTCCCCCCCTGTAGACAACCCTACACAGACCCTAAAGAAATCTGGCTTGATCCAGATGCCTCAGTGCCCGTCCTAATTATTTGCAGTCACATGTTATACCCCCAACTCTGTGGACAGGGAAGACAAAGTCAAGTCAGAACAATTAGAAGAGAACGAACACACCTTTAGTACGAAGCTTGGAGCGATGGTGCATACTGAAACTACCATCCCCACTCGAAATTCCCACAGTCAGAGAGAACTTCTAGAACTATAAATCTAGAGAACTTCTAGAACTATAAAACTAAGGGCTCTACAACTCCTCGATACTAAACTCTACTTCTAGAATTCTAAAGTTCAAACACACTAGACTCCTTTCCATGGGTTCTAAAGGATCATGCACGGCACCTTTCCTCAAAAAAGGCAAAATCTGCAGAATTCCTACCTTCCAGTGAGAAGGAGTAAGGGAGTGGCTGATTATGAAATTATAGGAACAAGACTTTGTGTTTTAATGAAATGCTGTGCATTTCATTTGTCATCACAAGCAAGAAAAAAAAATTCTGTGTTGCAAAAGGCCACTTCAAAGCCAGGTGGCTGAATCACAGAGTATCTCCAGGGTCAGTAGCAAAGTGAACAAACATCAAATACATCTCATGGCCACAGGTGAGCTGGAGAACAACCACTCCTGGCTGCCAGCCTGGGAGCGGGAGGGCCGCTCAGGATCTTTTGTCAGGTCTGCATTTTCTGGAACACTCCTGGACCTCTGCTTACTACCTTAAGTCCACAACCCATGTTAACCATACCTAATCCTCTGGAATTTGGCCTATGGAAAAAGTTCATTCACCTCCACAAGGCAAATGACATAAGGAGAACTGCCTGTTAGGGTACACTTGGGGTGTATTAAGGAGGAAAGCAGACCCCGTGCCTTTAGAGTTTTTAAAGAAAAAGGGGAACTTGCTTGCAGTTGGGACAGTTTGTGTACAGGTGTTTCCGAGTCAGGGTCTGATTAACTGAGATTTCCATGCAGTTCCTAGCACAGACCCTGGCATATGGCAGGCTCTCCGTGTATGACAGTGGAGCCAGAATCTCATTTGTGGAATCTCAGGATGTTACTAGAAATCTGTAACAGGAGGAAGGGAGGGAAAACATAACATGGTAAAGGGAGCTGGGAATGCTCTAGCAGCCACTTGCATTTTTCATGAAACTGCAAATGAAAAGCTTCAGCATAACTCTGGCTGAAGAATCTGGACTCAGGCAGTAGCTCTGGGATGCAGGGAGCAGGCTGGAAGATGGGACACCTAGGAGCCTTGTCCTGAGCTCCACGGCATCTCCCCAGACCCCATGGTCACCTAAATCCTCAAGATCCCAAAACCGCTCTTTCTCTTTCTATGATCAAGGGCCTCCTTCTGCCTCCCTTATCTCTTTTAGCCTCCCAGTGTGGCCCCTGGGCTTCCTGGGGCTTGTGACTCAGCAGCCAAAGTTAAAGTTTTCCAGGGCTGACAGCTCAGACTGCCTTCTGAGGCAGCCTGCAGGGAAGGCACACTGATTCATCCGAGCCTGCTGACTCTCAGCCCTCAAGCCTCTGTCACCCTCAACCTGGCCATCTAGGCACCTGTCATTCCAAACTACAGGGCATCCCTCTGGGGCCAGAACACCAGTGCCTCCTCCTATCAGGATGTGCTACACACATGCACCCCCACTCCCCAGCAACCCTCACCCCGACCCCCAGCATTTCTGCCCTGGACAGACAGGAGGGGCAGCTTCCACCCCAGGTGGAGCTCGACAGGTGTGTTCTCACCATCTGGCTCTGAGGGGTCAGGACCTGCTTAAAGGCCCCAGTGGGGATGGATCATTGGTGGAAAAGATGGAAAAGAGCTGAGGAGAGGCAGGAAAAGACTCCCCGACTTGGGGGAAATTCTGTGTCTGGTGGTGTGGGAGGCATGGCACCAGAGAACTGGAGGCTAATAATACTTGCTGGGCCTAATCTGTTCTGAGAATCTCCAAGAGAGAGAATCAGCCTCCCCAATCTCCTTCACTGTACCACCATCTAAAAGTTCTTTATGTCTAACCTTACTGCCTTTTGCTGCAGTAATCAACCCATTGATTAAACATTTCCAGGGCCAGAGAGAGAGCAGCACCCCCCTACGACCCTTACAGGGCTGAGGTGGGGGCTTCACTGACCCCGAGGCTGAATACAGCCCTCTCCTCATACACACAGCCTCCCCTTGGCCCACTACCCCCTCCCCCAAACAGCTCTGGGGGAGCTCACCCCTAGTCTACCTCGATGTGACCCTTAACCTCAAGTGAAAACAAAGCCCTGGAACCTGAGGCCGCTGGGGGCCTTGCCCCACCTGTACCTGCTCCCGGAATCCCTGCTCCTGTCCCTGGCTTCTTGTCCCTGGAGAAGCGTGTGGGGACCAAATTTCTGCCTCTCGCGGCCCCTCCTCCCTTGCCCGCGCCAGCGGTGCGGGAGACACCAGGCGAGTCCCGCGTACCCCTAGGCCCAGCACTACTGGGGTTGGGGGGACAAGGACGGGTGGAGTCTGCTGAGCCTCAAGGAACCCCGGCGCCTTGGTCCCTGCAGGATCTCCCCACCCCCATTCCGCATTTTCTCCAGGCCTCCAACTCCCCCAGCTGCTGCCCCAAGGAGAGAACGCGACCCGGTACTCCCTCCCGCCTAGGACCCTCCAGACGTTTGGGACAAAGGAGCCCCGCGGCAGCCGGCAAGCGTGGCCGCAGGGCACTGGTGCAGCAGGTAAATACCCGGTGGCTGGCCACCACGCTGCCGACCCTCCTGCAGCTCCCGCCGCCAGGGCGCGACACGCCATTCCCGCTGTCGCGACTCTCGGGAGGCGCCGCAGCTGCGCGCCGGGCTCGGGACTCACCCCCTCTGGCGAGCTCGACTCGGCTCGGCGGCCGCCCCGGGCTGCGCCCGACGCAGGGTCCGCGCGGCTGGGGCGGGAGGCGCCCTCTTGGCAAAGTCGGCGAGAGGCACCGGCTCAGCCGCGCACCGGGCGCGAGTCCGAGTCGGAGAGACACCGAGGCGAGTTATAGGGGCGCGGGAGGCTGTGGCGGGAGGACGCAGCGACACCCTCCCCCACCCCGCCCCCTGTCTCCCGCCCCCCAGCGGAGACGCAGAAAGCCGCTCGCAGCCTGAGAGACACCCGGACACAAAGACCTCGTGCCAGCTGCAGAACCAAGTTTCTTCCTGAGAGACCCAGGGAGCTCGGCCCGCTTTCACCGAGAGAACGGACCGGCGGACAGACAGACCGACTGATGGACCCTGGGACCTAGGCGCTCCCTAGGAGACCAGCTTTCTTCCTCGGCCGGATGTCCCTCGTCTCCCGCTTTATACACGGACCCCTCTCCTGGCGGATCGCCCGCAGGGCGAGCCGGAGACTCGAGAGAAAATGAAGCTCGGAGGGTGCCGCGTCCGGGAGCCAGGCTTTCCGCCGGGGCCCCCCGCGTAGTCCCACGGGAGGGGACGGGGGGTCTTTCCACCCCCTGTCCCCTGCGGACCTCTCCTTGCTCTGCGGGCGAAGGGCCAGGGGACCGGCTGAGGCTGGATCGCAATCCAGAATCCCGAGCCGGAGTTCTCTCTGTAGGTGCCGGGGCTCCTGGGACCGGTGCTCTGGGGAGGGGGCACCGCTAGGACAGGAATCCAGGAACGGGGGGGGGGCCCTGGGTCTCCCGTTACCTGCTTCGGCCGCGCTCGGACTCCGCTCTGGGGGCTGCTGCTCGAAGCTCCGACAAGTCTCCACGTCCAGCCCGAGAGGGGGCGGCCGGCCCCGGCACAGCGAGGCAAGGGCCGCGAGCGCCGCCTGGCACCGAGGCCCCCCGTCCCCCCACACCCGGCTCATGCCCCAGACGCCCAGGTCTGCGGAGCAGCCGCTCGAACCCGCACCGCGGCGGGGCTGGGGCGGGGCAAGGCGGCCCCAAGAAGACCCTCCCCGCAGCGGCCCCCTGCGGCTCCGCTCGGCTTTTAATCGCTTCCCCGCAGGGTCCCCGCCCCTCACGTGGCATCCCGCGGCAGCTGGCAAGTCTGGCGCCTCACGCCGCCCCCTCTACACTCAGGGACTGGCCTGGGTCCGGGCGGGTCCGAGGCGGGAGCCGGGCTGTCCTGAATCTTGGAGGGTGCAGGGCCGGTTCCTGCTCTGCACGCACTGCCTGGCGTGTGCGTGACCTTGGGCCTCTCTGAGCCTCAGTTTTCCTCTCAGTAAAAGAAGTACAGTGATTTCGAGAGCTTCACGGGTTCCCTGGGGATATAAAGGTAGTGTTTGTGAAAACATTGGGTAAACTGCCACATGCCGCACAAGTGGCAGCGAGATAGATAACCCCGTAACAGAAAGAGGGATGACTAGGCTGGGGGTGGGAGGACCTTCGCCGAGATCCCTGATGGGAAAAGTTAGTCACACTTGCCCTAAGTCCCGTCTTCGGAGGTAGAAGACCCCAAGATAGCGGGGCGACGCGAACTGCAAGAAGACTTTCTGAGCCCCGCAATCCTGCGCTCCGCGGGCCCGCACGTTGCTATGGCGACGGGAGGCAGCGGCCGTCTCTCTCCATGGCAACGGGAGGGGAAAGTTTCTGGCGAATAGGAATGGGGGGCATTTCAAGAGGGCTCTCAGTTGCCGCCGACCCACCTCCCCGCTTCGGTGCGGTACCACTAGACGTGATGTATCTTTCTATTAAGCATAACAAGGGCCAGAAAGGCAGGAAACTAAACGGGAGGATTGAGGCTAGACTTAAAGTACGGCTCCCTCAGAAAATGTGGAGTGAGGCCCAGGAGCAGATTGGATGAGGAATGTCGAGGTGCCTCACTCGGGCCTGGAAATCTGTGGGCTATCCTCGGGAAGGCCAGGGAACCTGGGCCCTGCGGGGACCCAGGAATCTCCTGTCCTCCACCTGCCGGCGGTGGGGCCCCTTCTGTGTGTGTATGTAGAGGGGTCACCCGAGCTACAGGCTCCGCTTCCTTTGCTTTCCTGGACCTGGGAAGGGAATTTTAGCTGGAGCCTCCGGAAACCGCGGGACTGGTGTGTGCCCGGGGAGGTTGGTGGGGGAGGAGGGTCTTTCCTCCTAATTAACACGTTAATTAGAAGCGGCTCGAGCAGTGACTCACTTTCCGGAGGGAGGAGATTCGGAGCCCCATCTCCTGGCGGTCTCCCCTGCGTGCCATCTGCTCCAGCCGCACCAGCCGGGCCCCTGGACTGGAGATCTCCGGGCAGCCAGTGCCCTGGGCACCAAGGGCCAAGCCGAGGCCTGCAAGAATTCTGGTCTAGCCAGGCGGGTTTTCCGCCCGGACACGCGCCTTGGCTCTGTCCACGGTGCTGAAGGTCCAGTTGGTGCTACAATCTAGTGGGCACAGGGGTGCGAGGCGGGGAGGGGACAATTGAGGGAGGGTCGCAGGAGGTTCGCAGCTTCCACCCTGACCCATGGCGCCTGCAATTGGAGCAGGCTAAGAACACAGGCGGGAGGGACGGAGCAGGTATGACCCCAGCAACACTGTACAATCCAGGCTGCCTTCCTGTGGGAGGCGTTGCTGTTCCAAGAACAGGTGAGGCTCTGGCGTCCCCATTCGCCCTCTTGGTGCTTCTGAAAACCCACCTGAGGAGCCCAGAGGCCCCATCACCTCCTCCACTACCGATGCAGACCTCAGCACCCGGGAGAGACAGGAGCTTGGAGGCTCCCGACTAGATGCTCATTAACGGTTTCCAAAGCCGCGGGTTTGTGTTTATGTAAAATACAAACGGAGAAGGACTGCTCTCTGCCCGTGTTTATGACAACTCTGTCAACTCCGCGGCGATCTCTCCCTCCCCTTCTCGAGTTCCTGGGGAAATTCGCAGAACAAAGCGCTTTGTTTTGCATTTGCAGCGAGTGAAAAAACACAAGACTGTTCCAAGGGCCCAGCCTGTGATGCAGGGAAATCAATATTTTGCTTACATCGAGTAGGGGAATTTGCATCTAAACTGAAGGCAAAGGAGCCTGTTCCGAGCAAAGCAGGTGGCAGAAGCCGAGAATTAACAGATAATTTCTCATTGTTCCCAGATTCAGCCTCCACACTCGGCAGGCGGTTCTGCGGTTCTGCAGCCTCTCTGAGCCCCGGCAGCAACTCAGGACCTGGCATTTCTCATCCTGACTGTGCGAGGGAGGTTTTCCCCTCACAGGGTGCAGGAAGGGGCGAGGGCTCCCGAGTCAGCCAGTAACTGCTGAATTTGGAATGTGGGAGTGAGGATGTGTGAGAGAGACAGAGAGAAAGAAACAGAGACAGAGATAGAGACAAGAGACAAAGATAGATACAGACACGGAGGCACAGGATGAGGCAGAGATACATAAAGAGAGTTACAGGGGATACAGGGAACAGAGACACAGAGACAGACGCACATATAAAGAGACACACATTCAGAAAAAGACATCTGAAAAGTATTTTTTTAACGCTAAGATTAAGCCTCACCCTAGTTGTTCTCTGCATCCCCCCCTATAGCATTGTGGTCACATAACTAGCCACAAAGTAGAAAAAAAAATATGGAAACTTTTCCTCTCCAAACCCCCTTTCCTTCACAAGCCCAACCCCCAAACACACCTATGCTTCTTCCCATATGAAGAGACCAAATCCAGTCCCCCACGGTCCCACCCAGACCTGGGAGGAAGGAGCCGTGATTCCACTCAAACCCAGGGAGAGAAGGAGATGGAAAGAAGTGGAATTGTTGCCCCTCAACTCTGTCTTTCAGAGAAAGACCATTCTGAGTTTGGGTTTAGGGGTGGGGAGGAGTGAAGGAGGAGAACAGACAGCATGTCATGGTGGCAGACAAGGACATTGGGCAAGGCCCCAGGAGTCTGGGTTCCAGAACTGTGCGCCAAACCGGCCCCTATCTGGTGCTCAATGTTGGATTAGGAGCTCGCTGAGACTCCTTCCAGCAACAACCCTCCAGGATTTTACATGAAAGGAAAGGAGGACCCTGGAGGTGAGGAGGAGGGAGGCAACTAAAGAGCAGCCCTTCCTGGCTGTGATGAAGGGGATGGTTTTACAGATGTCCAACTCACTTTGGGCTTCCGCTCCCCCATTGCTCTCATCTCGTCCACAGCCATGGCTGGAGCATCCTGAGTCTGCACACCCCGGGCCGCTCCCCTACACCCCCACCCCCAGCCAGACTGCTCGGAAGCAGGGAGAGGGGCTGGGGGTGGGTGGGAGGCAGAATAAGAGGAGGTTTGAGGCAGAAACCAGAGGCCTCCCACTCCCATGCCCTCCTTTCCTCAGAAATAACCAAAGTGCCCGTGCCCTGCCCCCACCCCAAATCTCTGCCCTTGGGCAGACTCCCACCCTGCTCTGAACAGCAATGTCCTGTTGAGTTATGCTACAGATAGCATGCATTAAAACCAAACAATAATTTTTAAAAAAATTGAACCTTGCTAGGAAATTGTTAATGCTGTAGGCGGGAAGAATGAGTTCCTTTGACATAAGCCGATGTGTCATATTGTCTTTCCATCTCAATGCAATTTCTAAATAGGGAGCCCTTTCCCCATTCCCTCCTCCCTGCCAAGCCCCCAGCAGAAATGTAAAGGGAGCAGTCTGACAA